TCAATTTCAACATTTATAATTCTTTCTTTAAGTTGCTTTACATACCAGTGCAATTCAAATGTACTGACGTCCCTTTTGCCCGTGGCCTGCATCTCACGATGCTGGTAATGATTTACAGGTTGATGATTCAGAGCGCTAGGATTCTCGTATCAGCTACTTGGTGATCCCCAGTTCTTCCGGGGGCATTTTAATTACCTTACAGTCTTCAGTATTTTCAGATAGTCAGTGTTCTTAGTACTTCATTAGAGGCTTTATAGACTAGAGTAATAGTTAGACAGAGTCTCAGGCTTTTCATGTTAAGCAATGTTGGCTATATATATGTTTCAGACTTGTTTTAGTATTTCCGTACTTTGATTTATATCATCCAGACTTTCAGTATATCAGCAGGTGTTAGTTTATCTTCTGCATTCAGTATGTTATGATAACCCATGTTGATTTAGCCAGCCAGTTGGTTCGCTCGGTAATATGTAGTTAGGCACCGAGTGCCGTATTACGTCCAGGCCCAGGTTCGGGGCGTGACAGGACAATCTGTTTAGGTAGAAAAATAGACTCGCAATGTGGACTAATGATATGCTGAGGCATAAGAGTTAAAACAATAAAGAATAATGAAGATTAGAGAAGGCATGACTCAAACAACCACGTGATCGTCTATAAAGATACTGTACCTGACAGCTGAAAAAGAAGAAATATGTACGGAATGCTTAATTAAAGGCTATGAAGATGGAAGATTCTTTAATAGCCACAAATATGAAAAGAAATCAGCATAGTCCTTGATTATGCGCGATTGGTTTTTTCTACCATAAGCATTACGAATCACCCATGTAACGGTAATCAATATTATAAATATTAGTAATGAGCAGGAATTAAGTAGGGAAAACGGTTACAAATTGTATCCTTTTATAAATCTCGTTACCTTATCTTGTAGTCCCATCAAGAAATTTACAAAGTTATACTATCAATTGCTTGTACTTTACTATTCTCTGCTATTAGAAGATCATATCCTGTCCTGTGGAAGAAAGCTGCAATAATCAATAAGATTTTATTTCCCTCATTCTCTAAATATTGCTTTCCATTATTTTCAATTCTTTTATATACGAAAAATTAAAGTAAAATTGGTTATTAGAAACCCGAATTATTTTTTTGTTTTCTTTGATCACAAAAATTATTTTTTGGTTAAACACATGTGTACCATGGAATTCACGCCACAAACTAGAATCTCTTTAACTGAGGTCCGACCGAATTGGTTTCGGAAATCTTGATTCTTTTATGTTCCTCACAGCAAAGACCAACTCCACTAATGTTGAAACTGTAATCGGACAACCTAGGATAACTTGAATCCCGTGACCCCAGCGGCTCTTTTTCTTGCAAAGTTCTGCCACTTCGCCCACAATCGGTCCCTCATTATGGTCCATTTCTTTCCAAGGACTGATAACCTCTAACTATACGTCCTTGTCTTGAATGTGAATCTGACCTTTCCTTAGACACATATGGTTAAAAATGACTTTTAGATGGCCTCCGGTCAACATCGAGGTCAATTTTGGACCTCTCTAATTTCCGATCACGATTTCAAACTTTGAAAGACACCAAGGAACCTAACTGATCGTCTTCAATTCTAATTTTAGATTCATAGCAGTTATGGACATTAGCCATGTGGTTTCTTGAAATTCCAACAAGCTTTCCTTCAACTTCCTTGGGCATCAGAGCTTAAAGGATTAAGGCCCTTGTTAAATGCTTCCGCTGCCCATTCATCTTGTACTACTGGTAACATCAATCTCTTATTTTGGAACCTGATCACGAGCTGTCGAAGTAACTCTAGCTCTCCTTGAGCAATTATGAAAAATATCTGCTTTCCGAGCTTGAACTTTCTTTGCTCCAACGCGAGCTTTGATGAAAGAATCCACAAACATTTCAAAAGAATTAATTGAGTGTTCAGGTAAAAGTGAATACCATGTTAAAGCCTGTTTCGATAGGGTTTCCCCACATTTCTTTAGAAAAGCTGATTCAATCTCATGTGGAGCCAAATTGTTCCCCTTTACAGTTATGGTGTATGTTGTAATGTGTTTCTACGATCCGGCATAAACTATCTGCTGTGATTTTTTATAACGGCTGCTCATTTAATGCTGCTCTTTCCAACCGGTACCTTACTTTCAAATTCTCTTCCTCGATTCTCGTGTTCTCGGAATCTACACAATACCGCTCACATGACTGTACGGTATTAACTATCTGCTGACTCATCTCCACTCTGTCATCACTGCCACATGTCTGCTCGAGAGATGTCCACGTGTAAATTGCAAACTTTACCCAATATAGAGGGAGCAAAATGGGAAGCTCCCGAGGGGGATAAAAAAAAAGAGTAAGCTATCTTAAACGACTTATTTTAATTTATAATTTTATGAATAAATGAAGAGAAAGAAACTTTTCTTCTTCTTAATAAGTTGGCGATAAGTAAGTTTTAATAATCTTTTTATACTCTGAGCCGTGCGTAAGCCGCTTAACTCCCACTTGGCGATTTTTTAAGACGCATAATGGCCTTATGCCCTACTCTTTTGACCTTTTGTTTGCTATGTAAGATCATCTAATTAATGGTGCCCCCATAGCTTGAAGCCCTGAAATAATGTCGTGATAATTTACTCCTAGGCTACAGCTGCCTTAACTTGCATAAAATAAACTCTCTTAAATGATTAAAACAAGTGATTGGGTAGTGATTATCAATTAACAAGTTTGCTTGCTTTTATCTTCAATATACTCCCTCCGGTCCAAAATAAGTGATTTTTTGGATGTTTTCACACAGATTAAGAAATCCACCTTTTAGCATTAGTTAGCAATGGAATTAACCATATTAACCTTTGCTATCTCACATAAACACTCCTAACACATATTCCAACACTATTTACTCCAAGGACAATGTAGGAAAAAAATAATTAATTTATTCTTGAAATCTGGAAAAATCACTTATTTTGAACCACAAGAAAAAGGCCAAAAAATCACTTATTTTGGACCGGAGGGAGTACTTTATTATTATTATTATTATTATATAGATATATGTAACACTAGATGTATGGATCTTTATTTATGAAACGATGATCGGAAAGTCAGCCGCACTCAGGGCCCTGGCCTCTTTTGCATGTTTGACGCGTGTGCGCCACACGAACTGTCTGTTCAATTTAAAAGGATGTAATTAGCTATGATTAACGAAAAAAAAAAGGTACAAAATTCTTGCTTGATGAAGTCAAACTTAAAAAGTTATTGGATGATAGTGGGAGGTATCTTTTGCTAATCTCCATTGAGTTGGAGAGTCTCCAATCAAATACAATAAGATGTAAATGCTTTTATTATAAGGGTATTAAAGTTACTCTATCAGCCCCAATTTATTTAACACTCCCATTTTTTGAGATTCATATTTTTTAGTTTTGACTGTATTTGAACATTAGAATATTTAAGTTTTTTAAAATAAAATTTATATATTTGAAAACTACGTAAAACGTAGTATAAGTCATCAGAACTAATAATTTATAATAATTAAAAGGTATATTAAAAATTATGGTTAAAGAACAACTCATTCAAAATCCGAATAATATCATATAAATTGGGATGGAAGGAGTATTACTTTTCATTTTGTTTTACGCAACAATTAAGAATCTGGAGTAATGCACTTAGACTGATTCATCAAGAAGGAAGTTTTTTCTTCTTCACTTTGGCCAATTAACAAAGACTCTTAACTTGATAAACTGAAGGGGGAGCAACGTTTGGATTTTGAAAACATTGGACCACTCTCTTGTTTAATTTTCAGAAGCTGTCGTACATCTTTAGTTTGAAATTTCAATTTCTTCCCCTTTCACCTACCAGTCGTGTAAATTCAACACTTTTAGCTAACTCTGTCCCCTTACGAATATACACCTAACTTCCTGTTGCCAGTAAATAACTATCACCAATGATTTTGAAATATGGCATGGAGTGTCTCTTTAATTTGGACTCTACAATTACAATATCCTTAATTTGCACCGGAAACTGGGCCATCCTTAGAATAAAGGTTTCATTCATGATACAGTGTCGTTATTACTGTCTATAGTGTAAAATATGATATGACACGTGGTCATCTAAAGGAAGGACGCGTGGAACTCATAACGAGGATGGTTGAAGACTGAACACAAATATTCCGCTTGTCACCAGAAGGGATAACGTTCATAGAAATGTGTTAAATGCGTTGCACCCGATAGCATTTAATAAAGAATATTGTGTAGCATTAAGAACAACGGCCCGTTACAGGGAATTCGGCATTTATGTTTGCCACCGTTATATCTTCATCAATGTCACTCATAATTGACATTAAATGAGGGCACGATCCTAGGACCTACTTCCCTAGACACAGCTATAAATAATGAGTTTAGTTATAAGTGTAGAGGACACGATTTTTTTTGGCAAACTTACACTATATTCTATACAAAGCTTAATTCAATTTTAGTTTCTTGCTTTTTGATTTCATCATCGCTGTGCCCGAAAACTTTGTTCCCAGAACTGTCATCTCTGTTGTTTCATCTGCATTTTAAGGCTAAGTATTGCATAATTCTTTACTTATTTTATTATTTTCAGGATCAAATTAGTTTATTTATCTAGAAACCACGTATAAATTTAATTGTACCGTTTTACGGATAAACATACTATGCCTAATGTTAAAAGAAAATCTACATTGAGTTTACAGAACCATTATTGAGCATAATTGAAAATAACGAAGTCTTTTCTCTAGGTTCTAAAGAAGGGACAGTTGATCTTGCAAAAATCATGATCTTATTATTAGATTATTGTCAATAAAAGCATGTGTACGTACGTATGTGCTTTTTCCCTTCCCTCTTTCTCATAGTTTAGTTTTTAATAAATGATCCTTTTCCTTTTGCAGTCAATGGCCTCTTTTCGTTTTTTCCTTTTAATTTCCCCCTTTTAGCAAGAGGTCTTCTAAAGTTAACAGTACAAAATGAAAAATAATGTACTTCAAGGGGAACGAATTTAAATTTAAAACTAAATATTTTCACTAGGTCTTGGATTGAGTACATAGTAAAACATGCCAACTCTCTCCAAATGGGTAGTTTTCCCTCTTCTTTTTTTTCCCCCCTGTCTCTTGTTTCGTCGATGTATATATAGTGAGATAGTGTCTAAGAAAGGCGAAATTTGAGCCAAAAACAACTTTTGAAGTGGTTAATTATTTCGAATTAGTACTAATTAAGGGAAAAAAGAAAGAAAATTCTAATTCTAATCTACAGCCATGTTTTTTCTTCTAATCGAAGTGGTAAAACTATTGCAGCTGCTACTATCTTCATGCTCATCTGATTCATTAGTAGACAGCTCAGTGATCCCACTGGAACCAGACACTGATGAAGAACAACCCGGTACCCAACTATTCATAAAATCGTAAAAAACTAGCTTACTCTTTCCACCTGCTCTACAACTAGTTGTATTCAACATCTGTTTCATGTTCTCGTCTTCTTTCTTACTGCCTCCTCTCTTCTTCAAGAATATTCGGCAGAGAACCCAATTTTCCTGCAATTCACATGTTAATACCCATGTCCAAGAACTATATACAGTCAAACCTCTCTATAACAGCCTCGTTTGTTCCGAATATTTTAGGATGTTATAGCGAAGTGTTATTATATAGAACATATATTATAACATAATATGAAAATTAGTTCCGAAAAAGGTTGGCTTTTATAGTGAAACGTTGTTATATAAGGATGCTGTTATAGAGAGATGTGACTATAATATATCAATCTATTTTGAAGTTTGAGTTCACCTGGGTAGGAATGTTGTTGGATTCAAGATTGGCGAGGCGATATTCGTGCATAATCCAATCAGTTCTGCAACCATGGAGAGGCTTTCCTTTGTAGAAGACAAGAGTTTTCTTCATACCAACAAGTTGTTGTTTGCCTCTGGAACTCACAATTTGTTTGTCAAGTCCAGTTGCTTTCCAATACCCTGAGTTGGTTGCTCTGTTTGACCTGTTCCCCTTTGGATGCTTCATCTCCCTTGTGCTAAAAAAGTACCTTTCTTGCTCCAAATCACCTGAATATATTCAATTTCACAAAAATCACAAACTTTATTAAAAAAAATTAGCAATTCACATTTCGGAGTATAAAAACTTGTTCTTTTTAAGGAATTTGGAAATAGACAATGCGAACCAACCTGGTAAATCCCAAGGATCAGATTTGTGAACGTCTATGTCAGGGATGATAGAGGCTGGCAAAGGGAAAGAGAAGACCTTGCGCTTTAAATACTGAACCACAAGTTCTTCATCAGTTGGATGGAACCTGAATCCAGGGGGCAATCTCACCCCTCCTATTTTCACAAAATTAAGCTTTTCCATACCCATAACAGAAAAACAATAAGAACAGAGATAGAGAGAGAGAGACAGAGCTAGTGGGGGTGGATTATTGAGAGGGAAATTGTCGCTTCTTTATAGTAAAATAATGGGGATGTTGAACAAGGCAGAGTGGGACTTTGTAATTTTATTAAAAAGACAAGGAAGGGAATAGAATAAGGACGATCTAATTTGCGTAAAATAGACTCAATCTCCTTTGCTTTGACGCATCTCTTTCCAATTTTAAAACAACCCCCACAAAAAAGAAAAGAAAAAAATTAGAACGTGTGAGACGGGAAAGAAGAGAGGGTAGGTGGTTGTACAAGTGCATGCCTTGTTTCTGTTCGAAAAGGTTAAAACTTTTTTTGCCAGAAAAAATAGGAAAGTCTGTGTCTTTACAGTTAGACATAACGAAAAACAGCTAAAACTAAGCTTAGTTGTCTACGGAAAAACCGTAGCTCTTAAGACCAAACCTCAACCTATTCTTCCCCTGCAAAATTTGCACTTTTATGTTGGGTTATTTATAAATGTCTGGAGTTTTGTTTCCCTCCCTGTTTTACACTCTTTTGGACTCATATTGGATTATCTATTTAGCTCAAATGGTGATATGAGGCCTTAATAAACCAAAGATTTACATTCGATTGTCTTTTCATAGTTTTTCTTGTTTGTGATTATATATAATAATCGATCAAGTGGTCTAGTTCTATCCTTCTGTACAATGTTATTAACTCTGGAATTTGCACTTTCAATTTAGAAATTAGTCTCTAAGGAGATGACATAGTGATCAACTAATTACAATTTGAATCGCTTATTCATTCTAGTTGTTCTTCATTGTAACTTTCCCGGATATTAAAGAAGGAAATTTGTGGGCAGAAATTGATGGACGGTGGGAGGGGTATTTTAGACTTTAAAGTAGGAGTAATTGGGTGACATTTCGAAGAGGGAGATAATAAGTGTGGTTAATGTGAGTGAAATAAATTAGGCCAACCAAAAGTGTACATTGTACTTGGTAAAAAAGGAGTTGAGGCCTCGTAAGGGTGAAGTCACCTTATGTCACGCCCCAACAGCTGGAGCTCACCACACGCATACCTTTCACCTTAATTACACAAAGCCTTATTAAAAGTGCACTCCTACCCTCTCATCTTTCGAGTTTATGGAATGCTCGGGCAAAAGCGAATACCACATCAGGGCTCCTTTCGTAAGAGTCTCCTCGAATTTTTTCAGCAAAACTGACTCAATCTCGTAGGGAGCTAAATTGTTCCCTTTCACCGCCGTTGTATAGGTGGTGATATGCTCCTGAAGATCTGAAGTCCCATCATACTTCGGCACGTCTAGCATTTTAAACCGTTTCGGGATCAATTCTGGTGTCGCGCTTGGTTTGTACGGCAATTGCGTGTACTTCGTTGAGTCCAGCCCTTTCAGCACTGGTGGTGAGCCCGGAATTTGATCCTTTCGGGCGTTTTGTTCCCTCATAAACCGCATGAGTTCGATTTCAAAGGGATCACTCTCGTTGTTGCAACCGGATCCGCTCCTGGCCCCATCGAATCCGACCTCGCCCCTCGAGGTGTTGTTGTCGACTCTGTGCGTTGTTTGATTTGCAGGAGCACCGAGAAGAACTAGACCTCGTCCATTCGCGTTGTAGGAAACACCCGACAACTCCTGCTTTAGCTCCGTCATGACCTTATCCTGTCGTGTGAGATAGCCTATAATGGCCTCCTGTTGCTCCTGCAAGACCCTTACTGCTTCGACGACGTGCTATTCTTCAGCATCATCAGGAGTTGCCTCTCGAACATGTCGCGGATATTAGCCGCCGTGGACCTACGTGGCCTCGTTCCCCTCGTTGTGGTATCGTTGATAGAATCTTCGTGCTGAGGCTGATTTCCTTGGGCCTCAACATTGTGTGTGTTGTTAACACTATTATCTACCATTTTTAATGATTTCTCCTAAAGACGAAGAATCAAACAAGTTAGTAATAGATGCATGGATCAGTTCAATTACACGACTGTCTATGCCTCACGGTGGGCGCCAAACTGTTTATCCGTAAAATGGTACAACTGAATGTATACGTGGTTTATAGATAAGTGAATTATTTTGATCCTAAAATAATAGATGAATTAGACAAAAATATAAGACTTAGCCTTGAAATTGAAATGAAACAGTAGGTATCTTAGTCACTAGCGCAGAGCTACCGGGGGCAGTAAGAACAGTATAAATAAGCAAGAAAGCAAAATGTTATTGAGCTTTTGATAGAATATAGTGTATGCTTGTCAAAAAATTCGTGTCCTTACAATGATGGTAGAGCTCACTATTTATAGCTATACCTAGAGAACAAGGTCCTAGGATCAAGCCCTTCTTAAATGATAATTATGAAGGCTATTGAAGAAAGTGTAACGGTAGGCAGTGGATGCCATATTCTCTGTAACGGATCATGCACAAAATGCTATAGAATATTCTTCATTGAATGCTACCGGATGGCAGGCATTTATTTGCCTTTATGAACATTACTCTCTCCGAGGACAAGCGAGATCATTGCCTACAGATTTGACTGTCTTCTGTATTCGGCCCCACGTGTCGCTTTCTCATGTGATCATAAAATATGAAAATATTTTACCCCATACACATAGTCCCCCTGCTTTCCGTTGACATAACTTTGTGTCACCGGGAAGTTGGTAGAGATACCTTTCTTGGCGAAAAATTTTCTGACCTCTCTAAAAAGTTTCTGACGGTTGATTAGATGCATGTCTCTCCGCATTTAATGTCCCGAACACGCATCATCCCACGATTTAGCATCACTTTTGCCGGTTATCAAGGTAATTATGGCAAGGAGTTTTGTGGCCGAAATAATGCTTCCGGTAAGCTTGGCTTGCTCCAATACCCTCCATCGTATGATGTTGGGCAAACTTCCTGGATCTACTAGAACACGTTTAATTAAAATCTAAGACAATTAAAGAGATTACCAACGCATCGTTGTGCGCTAGCAACAATCTATATGCGTCTTCCTCCGTGAAAGTAATGTCGTCTTCAGCAACTTCCCGGAGTCTCTTGATATGGGTTACTGACACCTTCGTCTTTTTTGCCACCGAGAATGTAACCCTGTTAATATCGTTCCCCTCGAAAATTATGTTGATCGTAAGGTGCGCGGGATCTTCTCCTGCTTTTGAAGGCTCTGCATTATCACGATTGCATCCATAGCTGTTTTTAGCCCGGTCACTTAAAAATTCCCTGAGATCAGCAATGTGGCCACCTCTTCATGCAGATGCCGTCAGTCCCTAGTCCGATGACCGTTTGTCCCGTGGTATTCTCACCACAAGTTAGGATCCCTTTGTCTAGGATCAAATCTTATTTGCTTCGGGAATCGTGCTTCTTTAATGTCCCTTATGGTCGTCACCAGCTCCACTTCGCTGACGTTGAAATTGTATTCGGACATCCTGGGATAGGAAGAATCTCGAGAGCCTGATTTTTCCTTGTCCTGTAATGACCTGTTATTTCGGTTTCGATCAGTTCTCCTATCGGTAGCGAATCTATCCGACGATCGAAAACCTATGCCGCGTCCTTTGGCCTGTTCATAGGGCAAAAACTGACTCCTTGAAGACCGTCGATCTGTGTCAAAATCAACTTTCAACTTCTCCTTATTCTTCTCTCAATCACGACCCTTGACTGACGCTGGGAAACCTAGCTGGTCATCTTCATTTCTTATCTTCGATTCGTACCGGTTGTGAACATCCGCCCAAGTCGTTTCCTAGAACTTGAGCAAACTTTCTTTCAACTTTCGGAAAGCATCGGAGCTTCTTAGATTCAGTCCTTTGGTGAATGCTTCAGCCGCCCATTCGTCCGGTACGACCGATAGCAACATCCTTTCCTTCTGGAATCTGGTTACTAACTCCCGTAGTAACTCGGACTCTGCTTGTGCAATCCTGAATATATCGACCTTTCAGGCCTGTACCTTTCTGGCCTTAGCATGGGCCTTGACGAAAGAGTCCGCAAGCATATCAAAGGAGTCTATGGAATGCTCGAACAAAAGCGAATACCACGTAAGGGCTCCCTTCGTAAGAGTCTCCCCGAGTTTCTTTAGCAAAACTGACACAATCTCGTGGGGAGCTAAATCGTTCCCCTTTACCGCCGTTGTATAGGTGGTGATATGCTCCTAAGGATCTGAAGTCCCATCATACTTCGGCACGTCTAGAATTTTAAACCGCTCAGGATGAATTTGTGTCGTGCTTGGTTGTACGGCAATTGTGTGTACTTCTTTGTGTCCAGCTCTTTTAGCACTGGAAGTGCACCCGGAATGTGATCCATTCGGGCGTTTAGTTCCCTCATAAACCGCATGAGTTCGATTTTAAAGGGATCACTCTCGTTGTTGCGATCAGATCCGCTCCCCCCGACCCCATCGAAGCCGACCTCGCCCCTCGAGGTGTTGTTGTCGAATCTCTGCATTGTTTGATTTGCAGGAGCATCAGAAAGAACTGGACCTCGTCCATTCGCGTTGTAGGAAGCACCCGACAATGCCTGCTTTAGCTCCGTCATGACCTTATCCTATCGTGTGAGGTAGCCTATAATGGCCTCCTGTTGCTCCTACAAGACCCTTACTGCTTCAACGACGTGCTCTTCTTCATCACATCAGGAGTCACCTCCCGAACAGGTCGCGGATATCGTCCGCCGCAGATCTACGTGGCCTCGTTCCCCTTGTTGTGGATATCGTAGATAGAATCTTCGTGCTGAGGCTGATTTTCTTGGGCCTCAACGTTGGGTGTGTTCTTAACAACATTATCTGCCATTTTTAATGATTTTTACTAAGGACAAAGAATCAAACAAGTTAGTAATAGATGCAGGGATCAATTCAATTACATAACTGTCTTTGCCCCACGGTGGGTGCCAAACTGTTTACCCGTAAAACGGTACAGTTGAATTTATACGTGGTTTATAGACAAGCGAATTAATTTGATCCTAAAATAATAAATGAATTAGACAAACATGTAAGACTTAGCCTTGAAATTGAAATGAAATGGCAAGTAACTTAATCACGGGCGCAGAGCTACCGGGGGAAGTAAGAACAGTATAAATAAGCAAGAAAGTGTTATTGAGTTTTTGATAGAATATAGTGTATGCTTGTAAGAAAATTCATGTCCTTACATTGATGGTAGAGTTCACTATTTATAGTCATGCCTAGGGAACAAGGTCCTAGGATCATGCCTTTCTTAAATGATAATTATGAGGACCATTAAAGAATGTGACAGT